GGACGAAAGAATCGTCTCGATAGGGAATTATACCGTTATTTCTGATTGTGTTCAATATATGTTCTCTTTTGTTCTTGTTTCTATTAACTAATTTTTCAAATGCAAATTTAATTTTGCTCTCGCGTTTTTCCAAGTACTCTTTGATCAACTTATGGTTAACAACATATGATTCATTTTCTATAATATTGAACTGTTCCATGTTTTAAATCTCGACCCTCGCTCACGTGTTCACAATAGGGATTAAACTTGGAATTTGTATCTGAAAAGGTCGAAAAATCAAAAGAATAATGAGAATTTCAACGAAGCTTGAAGTGATTTATCAACTTTCTAGGCCCTATTTCTAATTAGTTGTGTATTTCGATTTTCAGATTCACCATTTTTCTCAATCTTGCCAATTCAAAGGGTATTCAAGGATTTTTCATTTTATTGAGCACTTCCACATCTGCATCCCATTAGTAATAACATATCTTAAGTTTGACATGTCCATTTCCATTTTTCAATGAATATAGACTATATTTCCCCCCTTTTTTTAAAAGAAAATCTCGTAAAGTGTTTTGATTAGAAAGAATTGGAAAGTTTGAAGAGTGAGGGGTTAAAAATGAATGATAGGTAATAAATGGGTAATTTCAGTTATTTTCATCGTAGTTAGCCTTAGCTTTTTTCACATGATCTTTGTGAATTTTCATTCTCTTGTTCTTTTTAAGAATTTCTATGTAGCTTTCCGACGTATCTAGGACCTCATATGGTCCCTCGTAGACATGTTGAAATTTATGATCTCTTACAGGGCTTTTCAGTAGAACCATGTCTCCTACATTTATCTCCTGCATGTTAGTCTTTTTGTCATAGTATTTTTTATTTTTTAGCTTTTGTGCATGAATATTCTCTTTAGCCATTCGTAGTGCTTCCGCTATATTATTTCGAGTAATATCCGCTAGGTTATCATAATTGTAATTTAGTTTAGTCTTTGTTAGCTGAGTTGGAATTTGTATTTTAAAGCCATGAGCCAAGTAATGAGGCATCTGATTTGTTGTCGAGTTAACCGTGTTGTTATACGCGAACGTGGCGAATTTCAATATGTCGTCCCAATTGTTTTTATCTTTATTCGAAAATGATCGTAGAAAAGCGTTCAGAGTTCTGTGGCTACGTTCCACCAAATTTCCTTGTGGCCTATATGGTGTAGTAAAGATTTTCTTGATTGCAAAAAGTTGCGTCAGTTGCTTTATGACATGTGATGTAAAACTGCTCGCATTATCCGAGATAATTCTCGATGGAAAATTGTATCGGCAAATTACATGCTCCAAGAGGCAATTCGCTGCCGTGAGTGCCGAACAGTCTTCTGTTGCGACAGCTGATAAATGCTTGGTTAAATCACAAATCATAGTAAAAATGTATCTATTTCCCCTCGCACTTTTCGGAATTGGACCCACGAAATCGATAAAAACGTGGTCGTAAAGTGACTCCCCCAAACTAGAAATTTGCATTGGCATACGAATATTCGTGGTAACTTTCGTCTTTTCACATATAGGACATTGTGACACGTATTTCTTTATAATTTCCGTCATATTTTTGAATCGATAAAATTTAGAGATTGTCTGAATCATTTTCTGATATCCAACATGACCACCGAGCAAGGTTTTGTGATATAAATCCAAAATTTGATCTATATCCTCCTGCTCTGTCAATTCCACAATTTTGTTCAGGAAAAATACTGTAGATATATTCTCTGTTTTAAATATATCTTGAAATAGGTTTTTGAAGAAGATATAATGTCGGATATTGTCATAGTCCAAATTTACCGCAATATTTTCTGCGCCGATTTCTTTGCAAATTTCCAAAATCTCTCTAATTCGATCTTCCGTGCACGCCGTATTTTGTCTATTCGCAAATTGATTAGACAATATACATGCGTAATGATGTTTATTGAATTCTGTGAAATTTGGCTTGAAATTTGTAATTCCAAATTTATTCATTATTTTTTCCTTTAGGACATTATTTTCGAGTGGTATTAAATGAAAAATCAGATCGAAACTGCTCTTTCTCAAAATAGTGCCATCTCTTTCTTCAATTGTATATTTTTCAACCAATTTTTCACCTTGACCGCGCGTAAGCATGAATGTCTCTTTGCTATTCTCAATTTCCAAAAGTTCATTAATTGATAATGGTTCTATTCGAGAAAGTGCATCTGCTACGGAATTCATAGGACCCGGACGATACAGTATTTTGAAATTGTAATTCAACAATTCAAGTTTCTGGCGAAAAAGTCTCGAACCACAATCTTTCATGTTAAATAAATAACATAATGCCTTGTGATCCGTGATCAAAACGAAAAAACGTCCATAAATATAGACTCTAAATGCTTTTATGGCTTCAACAATCGCTAGCAATTCCCTTTGAATTGTTGAGTAACGCTTTTGAGCTTCATTCAAAGTCCTACTGAAGAAAAATATCGGTCTATCATTTGGCAGTTCCCCCTGTGACAACATAGCTCCAATTGCAACATTGGAGGCATCTGTTGTTACGTAAAAAATCTCGTCGAAATCAGGAAACGCCAAAACGACCTCTTCCGTAAGCGCTTTCTTTAGACCATTAAATGAGTTTTGCTGAGCCTCAGTCCACACAAATGGTTGCTCTTTTTTCAACAAAGTAGTCAACGGCTTTGATAATTTCGAAAAGTTCTTAACATATCTTCTGAAATAAGAACATAATCCCAAAAAAGACTGAATTTGTTTAACGGTTTTAGGTCTGGGATAATTTTTGACCACTTCAATTTTGCGAGGATTGGCTCTTATACCATCTTTAGAAACAATATGGCCCAAATATTCGAATTCCCTTGCGTAGAATATGCATTTTGAAATTTTCAATTGTAAATTATGTTTACGGAGCTGTTTCATGACTCTCCACAAAATATCATCATGTTCCGCTTTTGTTTTTCCATAAATGATCACATCGTCCATGTATACATAAACACCTTTATTTATCAAATCTACCAAAATCGTGTTAATGGCTCTTTGCCAGGTTAATGGCGCACTGGCTAATCCAAATGGCATACGTATCCAACGATACTGAAAATTTCCTGCCGTAAAGGCTGTATAGTCTCTAGAAGCTTCGTCCACCACAATTTGATGGAATGCATTTTTAATATCCAGAGTAGTGAAATACGAGTTCCCACTCAAACCATTTATTATATCGTCAATTAATGGTATTGGGAAATTTTGGATTTCTGAAATTTCATTGATTTTCCTATAATCGACCACAAACCTGAAATCGTTCTTTTCACCTGTGTCATCTTTTTTACCAACCAAAATTGCTGGTGAATTGTAAATTGATTGAAATTTTTCAATGATCCCCTGTTTTTCCATATCTCTTACCATATTTTCCATTATTTCTCTATGTGTTTGAGGGATTCTATATTGTCTCAGATTCACAACTTTTGTGCCAGGAATAATTTTGATCTTATGTCTGATGACATCAGTCGATTTCAGTTTATCGCCCTCAAGGTAAAATTGAAAAGGAAACTCTCTACACAATCTCTTGATAGTATTCTTTTCATCGTCTGCCAGTTTGTCAAGTTTCAACTGATTTATTATAATTTCTGATCGGTTCATATTCTGATAATTTGTACTGTAACTGTGTTGTGCTATTGGTATACCCGAATTGACTTTCATCTCATGTCTTGTTTTAAACCTTTCTTTATAAAAATTTGCAGCTTCAAAATATTCTTCTAGACCATTTTCTTCAATTAAATTATTGCCCATTGTATCATTATAAAAACATAGTGGAGTTTCATTATTTTTATGGGATTTCAACCAATTTTCATTTTCAATTTCAATATTATTTTCTTCTTCATATTCATAAATGTTAAATGATTCCATAAATATTTTTTCTTCGTCAGATTCACTCAAATCAGGAATTATCGTCTGATTTACATTATTCATATCAGGAATTATCGTCTGATCTATATTATTCATGTGGGCTTCATTTTTCATATTGGGCATTTCATTATTTTCATTTTCATTCGATTCATCGTCTTTTTTCTGACGTATATTAAATTCAATTTTCATATTATTCATGTCTATAATTGATTTGTATGAGGTTAACAGGTCGTAGCCGATAAAACCATCTCCCGGACCGGCATGTTTCCTGTCTACCAAATGCAAGGCTGTCTCTAAACTTCGGTTGCCAATCGAAAAGACTCCAAACACCATACCTTTTGTTTTCACTGAAATATCTTTGCCCGTAACTCCATATAAGTTGATTATATAATTCATTATGTGTATATCTTTTCTTACTACATCGTCCGCTAATAACGTGATCGATGCTCCAGTATCAATTAATAATTTTAATGGCCTTTCACATAAATTTGACTTCAATAGTATATATGCTGCTCCGTTTTCGGTAAATATTTTATGTTCGATTTTAATAATTTTCTTTTCATCTTTATTTTCTTGCTTCGACATATTTTGAAAGTCTCTAAGAGTATTTAGTATGAATATATTATTTTCTGAAGTTCTAAAATTTGCTGTCATAATTAAGGTTTCGGATGAGGATTGCAGGCCGTTCAATCTCATCCTTTTTAGTTTTCCGATACTTCAAATTGATTGTCTGAACCATGCTCATACTGAAGATGATTCACATGTTCTTCCTGATTAAAAATGCCTGCGAAATTATTTGATCTGTTGAACTGACGATTATTTTGACCATTACGATTTTGATTATTTTGACCATTAGAATTTCGGAAATCATTGCTTCCATTTCGGAAACCATTGTTATTATTATTGAAATTACGATTGCCATTATTATAGCCACCATTGGAATTACGATTGCCATTGTTATATCCCTGTCCGTTATTACCAAAATTTCGATTATACGATTGCATGCCATTGTTTCTATTACGCCAAAAATCATTGTTATTATTTCTTGGCTGGTTTCGGTTCATGCCACCATTATTCCAGTTCGAGTTACGATTCCAATTTGTATTACGATTCCAATTTGAATTGCGATTCCAATTCGAATTACGATTCCAGTTCGAATTTTGATTGAAATTTCTTTGATTATTTTGATTTGTGATTGAACGTATGGCAGAAATTAACGGATTTAGACTTTTATCACCACTGTCTTTGTTTCTGCAGTCAGTTTCCCGATGACCTAGTGTCCTACAGAACCTGCAGAATAGCTCTCCTCTCGGAACTTGACTTAAAGAGTCGCTTTCGGCTCCAAGAGCATGGGTAATAGCGTCTTCCAAAGAACTTGAGCCTCTGATTGTCATAATGTTACGCAATTTACTGTCTCCAAGACCGTTTATGAATGCACGACGAGCTATGCGGTCATGTTCTTTGCGCAAATCATCAGACATAAAACTGTATGTCGAATTTCTATCTTTCTGAAGTTGTCTTATACGTTCAACGTATTTTGACAATGATTCGCCTTTCTCTTGACGTAAGTTCTCCATTTGACTCGCCAAAATTTCTTTGTTCGACAAATACGCATAATGCTTCATCAACTTTTGTTTGATTACCTCCCAAGATGGATTACTCATGTTTATTAACAAATTCCGTGGCTCTTCGCCCAGTTGGAACATCATTTGCTCAAAAAATTCATCTTCTTCACTTGAATTAGTTGCATAATGATATAAAGTATCAGCCTTTGTAATGAACGTTTTCAACTCCCTGTAGTTATCACCATTGAAAGATGGAATCTGCTTTAGACGTTTTAAATATGTCGTTCGTGGCAAATTTTGATTTCCAAAACTAAAATTTGATCTATTCGATGTCACGTAACTATCATGGTTCATATGACCTGGAACCAAACCATAACTTTGCTCATTTCCATATCGATCGCTTTGTGGTAAGTTTATTTGATTCATGTTTTGGTTTGAAAACACGCGAGAAGATTGAGCGTCTTGATTAGGATTCGCACGAAAAAACTGGCGGTTTTGGTTTTGTATAGACTCTGGTTCGTATGAAAAACGTTGTTCTTGGGAGATCGGTACTGAAAATTGTACCCTTCGTTGATTGTCCAGAAAATCTTGTTCATTGTGAACATAACTATCTATGTGTTTAATTAGTGGTTTATCTTGAAAGCGTTGTGGAGTATCCACATATGTGTAAAATTTAGGTCGATCATCACGTTGTTGATCGTAATTTTGTTGCTCGAAATTATATTTCTGATCGTAATATTTTTTATTATAGCTTTCTCTATCATGATTTTCGGGAACGTAATCACGTTGTTCAAAATCATGATATTTTCGATCAAAATCTCTACGATCGTCATGATACTTCCGATCAATTCCCGCATAAGATGGATTATTCATATCATTTTGAACAAAATCTTCATCTATACGTTCGAGCCTAGCTTTGAGTCTTTCGTTGCGTCTTTTCTCCGCAAGTTTTGAAAAATATTTGTACTCTTTCAACATCATTTCCTCATCTGAATCATAATCTTGTTGCGTATCTGGTTGCACATTGATTTTCCGTACAGCGCCGGTTTCGGCCTGTTGCTCTCTTGAAAATATTTTTACTTGATTGTCGAAATTAAAAAAGTGATTCTGACTCTGACAAACGTCAATTAGCCCGACATTTTGGAATTTTTTTATCCATTTTTGTGTCATTTTGCGCTGTTTTACTGATTTTTTTCCCTCGATTTTCCACGAATTCTTGTGCGATTTTCATCGAATTTTCAATGGATTTTGAACGGATTTTTCCGTGATTTCTCAACGGATCCCGAACGAACCTTTGTGTGACTTCCCAACGAACTTTGTACGAAATTTTGTGTTATTTTTCAACGGATTTTTAACGGATTTTCAACGGATTTTTGTCAATTTTTAACGATTTTTCCACAAAAAAGAAACAAAATGTGTCGTGGTCCATTGATAAGTGATATTGAACCCCAACATGATCTTGAATTACCCCTGACGGCGGATCAAATTGAAAATATACTTGCCCAGGACCAAAATGAAGGACCAGAAGCACATTGGATCGAACCACCACCGTTTGATTTACCCTGGCCAAATAACCAGGTTACGCCCGATGAAATTTCGGTGCCCGAAGCCAATGTTCCCGATGGACGGACATTTTATGTATGCAAAATGTGCTTTTACCCCGTTTTGGCTGAAGAACATGCCACCAAATTTGATTTTGGCATTGTTGGTCGCGTGAACCATATTATGGGACGCGATCCCTTGGGCCTATTTACCGACCCCCATGTGGCAGATTGGCAACGCCACACTGAATGCAACAATTGTCATAGCATACTGTCCCTTGAACAGAATGTACCACCGTCTGCTTTAATGTTCTGGAGTAATTTCTATGCCGTTATTCTCGATCCACGTGTTATTTTAAGTGGAGGCACCCACGCCGATTATATCATGGCCCAAAGCGATGATGACGATTTGGACGGCCAAATTCTAGTTTCTACCCAAACCATTCATACCATTAGGATGGATATTGACGACATTGGAAATTCCGACTCCGGCTCCATCGACACAAATGAAATCATTGATACTGAGACCGTGTACAGTATCTCAAGCGATGAAGATGAGAGCGATGATGAGCCCACGGTCCACATTGTTCACGACTCCTTCAACGATTCGGATGATGACTGGGACAATTGACTCCGTCCCGACGACCATTTCCTGAATATGATTTAATTCACATACCCTCGGATTCAATATTTTTTCAATGCTCGTGTACACCCGAGCTGGATTTTTTCCCATTTTTCTTCATTCTTTTTATGCTTGTGTATACCCAAGCAGGATTTCTTTTTATTTTTTATCAATGTAAGTTTTTATCTTTTTATTTTTAACTCATTGATACTGTTCAAAGACCCCATTCAGGCGGTCGTGTTCTTGGAAAATGGCTCCAAGAGTCGCAAATACTCAAACTGGTTATGTTATGGAAAAACGGCTCCAAGAGTCGAGAGAACCCAGAAAATTGGGTATTTTCCGTCGGGTTTTTTTCCCCAATTTCTTGCCCATTGCTGCATTGTACTTGCTTCCACACACCCAAATAATGTATGAGCGTTGTGTTGTGATGTACAAAAAATTTTCGAATAATAATTATTAGATTCTCCGAAATATTGCCGTTTTTTTTTTTTTAATTAGGTGTCTTTCATTTTTAGAATTTTACTTTTTTTTATGGCCTGTGTATACCCAGGTCGGATTTTCAAAATTTTTGGCTCAAAACGCTGTGTATACCCAGCTGGATTTATTTGAGCATTTTTTGTAAGTTTACTTTTGTTTCTTCCCCATCTCTTTCTTTTTAATTAAAATCAATAGTTTGTCCAATATTTTTCGTCTAATTTCACGCGCTTTCTGCTCTTGTTCTGAAAATCTACTAGAATTATCACTCAAAGCTTCCGCGAATTTTCTCAACTCATAAGAAATTGTAATTTTCCAGACACATTCCCTCTTCAAATCTTCGATTATACGCCTATTTCCCATAAACGAAGTCTGGAAACACTGTTCAATTCTATCTTCCCATGTATAGTTAGGCGCAATTTCCAAAAAATGTCGTATTGTATCCGTATCAAATTTGCACCAAGGGTGTCCTAGCACGTATACGCACATATCGTAACATTTTAGGAAATTGTATGTATCGTTAATGTCCCATGGATTTTGTGTTATTATGAATGCTTGAAATAATTTTCTTGTCAATACATCGTTGAGGA